TTGATTATGTTCACGTTCTGTGTGTTTCTTCCCTACGCATACACGAATGGATTTTTTTGTTTTCTTATTAAAACTTCACCTTTCCGAAGGGATCGGGTCGGTTAATATTTTAAAACCTTAAGTTTGGGATTGAATCTACTCAGATTTATCCATAAATATATCTTAAAACTAAAATGAAATAAAACCATATTATTTATTAATATAATAATATTTTAAGCTTGAGAAGCCACCAAACCCTTGAATATCTTTACTTTGGAATTTAAACATTGTCATTTTCAACAGATTTTAAACTGAATAAATTATGAATTTATATTTAATACATTAACAAATATATACATGATCACTAACTCTATTTCTAATAATATTTTCTCTCTCTCAGTTCCTCCCAATCAATCTCCTCTTCTTGTTCTCATGTTCTTCTTCTTTTCACTTTTAAAAAAAAATCGAATATCCTAAATTTTTAATTTTGATTCTTGAAAATAATATTTCTTTCACTCTTTTTCTTAATTTACCTATTTTCTTTTCTTTTTTATTATTTATGATCTCTTATTTTATTAAAAGAAAAAGGCATTCCAAACACTTTTGAGACTTGAATCCAAACTTGACACCATGAATTGATTGTGATGAGGAAGAAATACAAGTACATGTTAATGATAACAAAGGCCAAGGCCTGTGGTAAAAGCTTTTCAGACATTCAGCAAGCTTCTTTTGGGAAAAATTGTTTGATAAATATATGTGTGTCTTGATTTATATATATATATATATATATAATTGAAAGAGAAAAAATTCGAACATTACTTTTTAATTATAAAGATAATGCACCAACTAAGAAGTAAAATACTCGAATACTCTCAAATGGTCCTTGGTTGGTGCTTTGAAATTCTTCCTCTCACCACCTATTCCATGGGACAAAAGAAATATCAACCCTTCTTCTTAATTATCATTCATTTTTCCACCAAAGTTATTTACAATTTTTTTTTATCTTCTTAGATATATTGCTGTTAAAGGGAAAAAAAGTAGGAGATTGAGTAAAAGAGAGTTGGAGAGAGAAAAATATTATTTTTTTTTTAAAAAAATAAATAACATTTATTTTTAAACCTTTTACAATTTTAAATTTATTTTTTAAGAAAATAACTCTATCTGATGTCTTAATAATATATAAAAACTATATATTATGAGTTCATCGAGTATAAACTCATTAATTACTACTCAAATTATAAACTATATATTATACGAAGACACACCATTAGATAGTACTCACCACAGCATTTTAAGAGAATTTGTTACACACGCATTTTGACACCCGTTGAGTCTATGTTCGACAAATTATAAAAAAGACATGTGTTGGGAGGATGGGATGCCATGGAAGTAAGCTGGATCAGAATTGGACTACGTGCACTGTAGGATGCTACTCGCAGTTGTCAATAAGCTAAAAACAAGAAAAGAAACTTGGGTCGTTCAGATAAAGTCGACCATCAACTTTCCTGACTCTAGGTTCTGGTCTAGCCCATTTTTATCTTGGCTCAAAAAGATGAAACAACGCAGAAATAGTTGGGTCTAGGTAGAAATGGGCGTGGTTTAAGGTTGGTCTAAGTAGGACAAACCTCTGGAAGCCTCCGTTTTCAGTCATTTAAGTGAAGAAGCATTCATCTTTGGTGAATATAATGCAAAGCAATGTTGGAGAGTATTAGATATTTAAATATTTAATTTATTGATTGATGTATTATTTTTTTATTTTAAAAATAAAATTTAAATTTTTTTTAATTATAAAAACAAAAAAACCATTTAAGGAATTTGAGAATGCAAAAAGAAAAACTTGCATGTAAGGAAACTAAATGCCTAAAAATAGATTGGCCAAAATAACAATAAGAAGCTTTAAGCATGATCTTGAGGGAATTTTGGCAGAGAGTTTGGATAGGTTGGTTTCTTGCTCCTTTTGTGCTGCTGAGGGACTCGGTGTTCGTGATGCACAGAATTATCTATGCTTGGTGGTTGAGATGACCCATTAACATCTAGCCTAAAATACTGTTTACAATAAGAATACTCTTGTTAGGGACATTGGAGGTGAGACTATTTTACAAAAATAGAATAAAGTAAGAATACAATTGAAATGTTATTATGTAGTTTAGTTGACAAAATGAAATAAAATAGAAATTGTTATTATGATTTATTGTAATGTTTAATCGATAAAATTAATTTTGAAATAAGTGATAAAAAGATAAAATAACATCACCTTTGCCGCCATTGTTGCTGTTGGAGGAATAGCTTAGCTATACCCCGTACCAAACATGCCATGAATAGATAGAGGGGCCAAGCTGAGTTAGACAATGGATCGAAAGCTTTGCCAAGGTGTCGGCTCCATTCTCCCTCAGATACTCCCTATTATGGCTAGTCATCATTTCATCGACATTAAATGTAGCTGCAAATAGCATGTAACAAGTTTCCCTTA